TTCCCGCCTGGCGGTGCCAGGCTGCGGCGGGGGCTAGAGTTAGAAGAGTTCCCGCTGGAATTTGGTAAGCTGCGGCAAACACCTGAAACTAAGCCTTAATAAAGGCGACTCGTGAAGGAAAAGGAGTCCCTTGGACCTAACGACCGCGAAGGAAAACACAAAGCAACGCTGAGGCTTTGGGCAGCATGCTACATTACGCCATGACGTGTATGGTGTGTACGGCGGCGACACTGCGTGTGCTGTAGTCGTCTACAGAGCATCCCTCCGCCGATGTTGACAGGAAAAATCAGTGGGATCAAGAGAGCATTTGAAGAGTAAAAGAATATCGTACAGCTCTTGCACTTTTTCAGAAACAAGTCATCAATAAGCACCTCGACATGCAAATAGTTGAAATAAATTTTTGAAGTTTCACGTACATCAGGTGAACAGATAGGTTTTTCAACCCTTCCCTAGTCATTAGTCTGTACCTTAGGACCTTGGCAGACACCTTTTACTTTGAAATACGTAACACTGGGACAAACTTTCAGAAGGTGATTTGTCAAAACAACACATACTGGAACAAACTGATTATATCAGTGGAAGGAAATTGCAAATACTGGATGTTACTCATTTAACAGTAGAGAACCAGCCGATACAATTTCTTTGTTGTTCTAAAGAAGAAAAAAACCCAAAACGAACAAAAACCTCATTAGGATGGCATATTGGAAGGATAATTTCTCTGCTCAGTCATACTGATGGCCTCTAAATTAACTGTAAGTACTCACAAACAAGACTGAGATGTACTTGTGCATAGCACTGTGAAAACATTTTCCTAATGCACAATGGCCATCAAAAAGCACTTGCGAGATATTTCATTGCTTGAGATGGGATGCTGACTAGCTACGAAAATCCTGCAATGCTGCTTTACATGTTTTACTGTTGAGCGAGTACTGAGTTCAGATACTGCTTGGAATCTGTCAAAACATCACAGAAAACGTATTTCAAGCAGAAGAGACAAAGGAGAGTGGCAGTAAATATCTTCAGGCATATGGAAGGAAGAAATGAAAAACTGGGATAGATTAGTGTGATACGGAGATAATAAAACAGAGCAGAGGTTTCCCAGTCTTTGCTGGCTTCTGAGGAAGAATACTGAAGATGCAGGGTGTTTAATATCATACTTAGCTCCATCTCTCAGTCTCACTTTTAACTTTTAATTTCCTGTGGCGGTAAGCAACATTAGAATATCTCGCAGGCAACGGGTTGCTATGAGCCATGGACAGGAGACTGCTTGGATAGAGGAATATTAGAATATTAATGCTACAGGGGAGGCTTATCAGGAAGTGTCTGTCCAGGATTAGGTAGCATGTCTACGGATAGTAATTATCTGTATGGGCAGTAACAGTGTCTGTCATTTACTGATAGTTCTTATTAGGATAAAATATTTATAAAGGATGTTTCATGTTTCAAAACAAAAGCCAACCATTATGGAGATGAGGGCTGGAAAGAAATTTCCTCATAGGTTTATTATCATGTAATTGTCCATAATGGGGGTTCTTCCGACTTCCACTAAGTTGCAAAGCAAATGGGTAAAAGAGTGTGTAATGGCTCTCTGCTGATGCTAGATTCAGGACTGGATGGCTCATCCATTAAGAATCTGAAGACATCTATTCAGGGGAGGTATAAAATCCAATGATGTCAATGGGACCGGTACATACAGATTAAATTTACGGTCCCCGGGGTGTCTTTTCTCGTTAAAAATGCGAAATTAAATGACAATTCTGCATTTGAGGTACACACTGTGTTCATGCCTTCTACACTGAGCATATAAAAGAGTTGGTTAAGAAAGTTGAGTCAGACTTCATCTACTGGGGAATGTTACAATATTGTCTGAAGTATGTAGTTTTCAATAGAACCACTGTGCCTACAATTTGTGGGAGGATTGTGATACAGTTCACCTAATGGCCGCAAATTCGTCAACCCATTCATACCCTTTCTTTTAGACATGATGCCAGAAGGTGGTTGCTGAGGACTTGAACTTCATGTACCAGTGTTCTAGGCACAAAACAGTTGCACTTCCATTGAGTGACCTGTACCAGACATCCATCTTCACCCTTTTGGGCCATGGCTTTTAGAAGAAAACACTGGTATGCTGAGAATTAATTTCATGAAGACATTTTTTCTCTCCCTTGCATTACTTACTTGCGTTTTTATGTAAGCCAGCCCTGTAATTCAATCTTTAGAAATCTTGATTGGATTTAATGTTAAGGCATTAATCTGTGACCAAAAGATAGATAGATAACTTAGATATACCTACATGCATACAGGTTTTAAAATGGAGAAGATGGTTTGAATGAAATATATTTTTTTGTTAATAACTAGGATTACACAATTTTGATGAAAACTCAGGTATTCATTTACTGGAATAAAGAAAAGTGATGATAAAAAAGATTCCAAGTCTATTAACAGTTTTTATACATTATACATAAAAATACTGTATAGACCTATGTGGAGATTATGCATTTTTTAAAGTAATGGAAAAATTTTTCATGCTCTAAAAACCAATTGACTGTATTTTTTTCCTGATTATTTTATTCTCACTTTTTAATTCCCTCCTAGTCATACACCTTGTGGTGGACACTACGTAATTCATATTGTCGGTACGTTGGAAGAGTTTTAAGAAAGAGCATAGGAATTTCAAAACAGGTGTCAAGAGGTGCTGGGAAGGACATCACAGCCGAAGCTAGCAGACGAAGAGCGATGCGCCCCTCTACCTGCTTTATAGGCTGGTACGAGTTTCCCAGCAGATGTTGCAACAATCCTGGATACAAATGGAGGTGGGCAATGGAAGGGCAGACGTGGGAATTTTGCAAGGAGTTTATGAATCCACGAAAACTAGGAGCTGCGTCAGTAGGTCCCATCCAGTTGTGTACCATTACCCCGGGGGGCTAGCGGTGAGGATAGCCTTACTGGGACCGGGACAGCAGGCGAGCGAGGCCAGGGCCGGCCAGGGTGGCCGTGACCAGCCTTGGCTGAAGAGAGGTTGCAGCAGCAGATACGTAACGCAGCGAGCGTGCCGGTTGATTTCGGTGCGGCGGGGACGTGCCCCGCTGCTCTTGTGGCACACGTGGTTGCTTTCCCCTGCACATGACACAACCGCTC